AACAGAGTATATCAATGCATTGACTAGAACAAGTCTACATGTTCTTGATTATAGCACATACTGGTTCATGTCCACAGACAAGAAAATTATATAATACCAATTTTTCTAAAACCAAACAATAAACCTAACAAAGTGGGCTTCAGAATAATTTCTTCAACTTTGTATAATTAGAAATATGTTTGGTTCTGGAAATGTGGACAGACCATTAGAAGTTCATTACTAAGTGTATAGCTCTCTTCCTGCAAATGGTGCTTGCATTATTGGAATAGTAAAAATTATATGGGGGGAAAACACACACTAACTGAATTTGACATATATATACTGAACAAAAAAAGAAACGCACAATTAAATTATGCAATCAATAGCCTATGATATTTTGGGAATATTTTACAAAATTCTTGCTGGAAAATTAGGTTATGACGTCTGAGAAGTGGAAGGACATGTGGTTGGAGGATCTGGTCTCTGTATCGAACGGCATGGAGGTTTTGATCCAGGAGCACTAAGGGGGATTTTACTCCATGGGAGATGCCTCCCCAAACCATTACAGGAGCCCCACCGAATCTATCGCGTTCAACCACGCATGCGTCGGCGAAACGCTCACCGCGTCTGCGACATGCCCTTTTTCTTCCGTCTGAGCGATACAGACAGAATCTAGACTCGTCGGTGAACATCACACGCCTCCATCGACGCATCCCAAACCTATTCGGGCCATGTCTGCGCACCCAGTCAAGACGCACTTGCCGCCTCCGTGGTGTCAGAGGTGGCCCGACATAAGGTCGGCGCGCAATGATTCTCTCGGCACGCAAGCGGTTCCTGGCAGTTTGAGGACTAATGGGTCTGCCATGAGTACCTAAGGTATGCGACGCAGTCTCTACAGCAGTCTTGAATCTGTTGCGCAAGTGCGACAATCGAATCGCCCTGTCTTGTCGTCCGGTCGTTACACGCGGACGACCGCTCCTGGGACGATCGGAAACTAACCCAGTAGCACGGAAACGTGTACAGAGACG